GTAACCTTCTGTTAACTAAGCTAAACATGCTTAAATTAAAATGCCTAAAGCTAAACCTCCCTTGTATTCACATTTCTAAACCTGTTGTCCAACAAAAGAGAACATTATAACCTTTTTACTCCACAACACCTGTCAAATGCTTCCTTCTGTGATCTGATGAGGCTTCTTGTCACAGAACAAGGCAGAAAATATGTTCCATTGGCTACTTTAAAAAGAATACATCGATTTGGTGACCATACGTCCTCTTTTCCCCGGACACGTCCTCTTTTTGGACCTACAAAAATGCGTCAGGTGTTCTGACAAATAATGCTACCTATCAGATTATGCTACCAACACTGTATTTATCCTACTGTAAGGGTAGGTTTAGGGTTGGGGTAGGTGTACATGTTAATAAAGCCTCACACCTTATTAATATCATGCTGGAAGCAAAATCTGATAGGTAGCACTTTTCGCTATCGAATTATGCTACCATCTGTTTTAATGGGAGGGAGCAAAATCTGACAGGGTAGCACAAATCGTCAAAACACCGGCCGGGATTTCTTAATTGCCCAAAATGTCTGGGATTCGGCTGTTTTCTTATTCCCGCTCCCGCTGAATCTCTGGCCATTGCCGCCTGCTCCCGCAACACGTTTCGCTCCCACGAGTTTCGTGTCCACTTCTTTAAACATTCTAATATTGTGTATAATTTTGGCGCATCAGGGAGCCGCTTTCAGGATGCGGTGTATTTAAATATTTTTGAATGAGCGTTTGCGCTGTTTACTCAAGACTTTGTAAAAGAGCATAATAGGACCCCTTTAACATTGTTTGTGTCATATCAGTCAGAAAAGCAGTTCTGGGCAACTTAGTTGTTATTCTTGGCTGAATAACTCTAGATGGTTTTAAAACCCCTTTAAAATTAAATATGTACACAGTTTGGATTAAATGGAAATATAGTAAAAAATTTTAATTAGAATGTTTTTGTGTTTTGCTTTGGTAATGAAATTGGTACCGAGAACCGTGGATTTTCACTGGTATTGGTACAGAATACTGAAATTTTGGTACCGTGTCAACACTACAACAAATAGCTTCTTGATGAATGTATGATGTTATTAAAACTTATCTTGCTTTTAAAAAAAAAACTAAACAATGCGTTGCAGAGTGACACAACAACTGAATATTCTTATTTTCTCACTTTAGATTTGATGAAGGTGAAAGAAGAAAATGAAAAACTGAATGACTTTGACGAGAAGCACCACGACTATCAGAATTCCTCTGATTTCAATTCTGAAGAAAAACCTTTTAGTTGCTCACAGAGTAATGAGCATTTGAATCAAGAGCCTTCATTCACCTGCCCTGAATCTGGAAGGAGTTTCACTCAAAAACAACATCTGACCAGACACATGAGAGCTCACACTGCAGAGAAGCCGTTCACATGTGTGGAGTGTGGAAAGAGTTTCACACACCACGAAAAGCTAAATACGCACATGAGAATCCACACCGGAGAGAAGCCATTCACATGTCCTCAGTGCGGAAAGAGATTCTCGCAGAAATCAAACCTGAACACTCATTTGAGGATTCACACTGGAGAAAAACCCTTCGCATGTCATCACTGCGGAAAGAGCTTCACATGCAAAGGAAACCTTAATATGCATGTGCGAATTCACACCAGAGAGAAGCGGTTCACATGCCCTCAGTGTGGACTGAGTTTCACTGAGAAAAAAGTCCTTAAGAATCACATACGAATTCACACTGGAGAGAAACCCTTCACGTGTCTTCAGTGCGGAAAAAGCTTCACTCGGTCAGGATCCCTGAAAGTACACGAGCGACTGCACACCGCAGCGAAGCCGTATCACTGCGCTTCATGTAGGAGATTCAGTTTGGTTTTCTTTCATATCTGCACATCGTCTTACTATCAGCCTTGATTATTCTAGTCTGTTAATTAAAAGGCTACTTGTATGTATATCTGCTAATTGTTAATGAGATGCATTCATGTAAGAGGCTGACAATTATCTGAACTTAAACTTGTTTAATTGGTGACACTTGGCCTACATTAAAACTTTTTTTTTTTGAATATGGCAACATATTTCCATCTAAAAAAATCTCACAAAATCTGTAATTTAAAGTTTTTATTTGGATATGGGAACATTTACATGTTAAAATCTTTATTAGAATTTGGCAACATTTTCTGCAATATTTCTGTGATTAAATGACTGACAGCCAATCATAGTTCCCTTTCAGTCAGTCAATCTCGACGTCACGTCGGTAATTACTGATGAATTGGGATCTCGCTTAGAGAGACAAATCCACTTTGATTGTAAACTAAACGAGCCAATGCACATTGGCATGCGATGATCGCATCCAGCTGCCGCTTATCGCAGCGCAAGTATAACTTGGCAGCAGGTGCAACGCATACTCAGCTTTTCGCTTCAGAGCCGAGCGATCACATCGTTTTGCTCCGGACTACTCTACTGAGAGAAGACTGAATGTGTTCAGAGTGCTCTTTGGAGGTCTTGGTGTTGGCAGTATGGCGCTTCAACGGTGGTGATTTTCCCATGTCGAGTGGGTTGCACACATCAGCCTGCACTACCCCTGTGTGTGTTGCAGCGGCCATCTCCCCTGTGCGCTTCAGCACGCTGAAAGAGCTTTTTCCCTAAAAGAGCATTCATGTGTGCGTCTTTTTAAAGACGACATTGTGTCTGGCAAACGCGATGTTGTGTTTTTGTAAAGACGATGTTGCGTCGTGCTAAAGACGATGTATCACCCGTGCGTTTCTGGATGCGGTCGTTACTCGGTGGTCCCACTACCCAAACCATCCCGCTGGCTCCTGCAGACCATTAGTCTCGGCTATGCGATCCAGTTCGCCCGGCGTCCCCCCAAGTTCAGTGGCATCCGCTTCATGTCAGTGAGGGCGGCCGATGCTCCTGTCTTGCGCGCGTAGATCGGAATGCTACAGGCGAAGGAAGCGATAGAGCCGGTCCCTCCAGCCGCTATGAAGACGGGGTTTTACGGCGCCTACTTCATTGTACCCAAGAAAGGCAGTGGGTTACAACCGACCTTAGACCTGCGTGTCTTGAAGCGGGCCCTTCACCGGACACCGGTGCATCCGTCCCCGAGATTGGTTTGCAGCGATCGACCTGAAGGACGTGTACTTTCATGTATAGATCCTTCCGCACCACAGACCATTGCTGTGGTTCGCGTTTGAAGGACGAGCATATCAGTACAAGGTCCTGCCCTTTGGGCTGTCCCTGTCGCCCTGTGTCTTCACAAAAGAAGACATTCTCAACTCATACCTCGACGACTGGCTCATACTAGGTCAGTCTCAGGATCAGTTGTGCGAACACGGGGACTTGATGCTCTCGCACCTCAGCCGTTTGGGCCTTCGGGTCAACTGGGAAAAGCAAGTATGCGTTTCCCCCAGTGAGCTTTCTCGCACAGACACTGTGCAAGATCAGTGAGGATGAGGAGCTAGATTCTATAGCCTTCGTGTGAAGCCGTTATCCTCCTGTGTTCTCACATCAAACAGGTAGAGGCACTGAGAGGCCCCGGTTTAGTGTCGGTTTGCTAAAACTGCTCCAGAGTGTCCGTACTGTAAACCCTGTCGAGCTCCTCCATCCCCTCAGCAGCCAGACGTGGTGGAACATCCGGCGCCAGGCCCTCACTCAATGAATCCGTGAGAACTGGTAGAGGGCTGGGTTCCATATGTAGAGACCTAAGTGGATCCCTTATGTGTAGAGTCCACGGTATAGCCTCAGAGCCTGTGTTTCCCCGGCAGACTTCTGCCATTTCCAAGAGGGTTATAATCACCTCTAATCTTCCATATGCACCTAAACAATTGTTTATGTGTAAGTGCTTCCGAAACCTCCTTCGGGAAGGATGGGGCTTCCGCAACGTTCCTGTTCCTAGTGGTACGGGTACGTTTTCCCAGTGTTATCCATCTCACTGAGTAGGTAGTGCTACGACAACAGTGACTGGCCTTCTTGTTGCGAGCCCTGGCCTACACCGAAAAGGGGGCGCAGCGGCTGGGTCACCGGCTCAGCTCCTCAGCGAAAACCTGAGTATTTGTTGAACCTGATGCCTAGTTATACTTGCGCTGCGATCAACGGTAGCTGGATGCAATCATTGCATGCCAATGTGCATTGGCTCGTTTAGTTTACACTCGAAGTGGATTGGTCTCTCTAATCGAGATCCCAATTCGTCGGTACGTGACGTCTCCGTTCCCTCCTTCAGGCAACGAGGGTTACATACATATCCGAGACGTTAGTAAGCTTCATGACATCATAGCCACGAGCTCAACCCTGCCTTTTCTCTTAGCTTAATATTTCTCCCCGTAAAAGTTGCTCTCAGCAGTAGGGCTGCTCGATTATGGCAAATATCATAATCACAATTATTTTGGTCAGTATTGTAATCACGATTATTTAAACTGATTATGAGTGGGCCATATGACCAAAACTTTATGTGAGTGATCTATTTAACGATAGTGATATATCAAATATATGTTTTCTGTAAATAAGTTAGCTATGACATCTACATTTTATAGATATGCGAAATTTCACAATTATCAATACCACAGCAGAATACGAGGGTATTATAGGGTACTAAACACATTTTTGCGTGTATTTGACCGTTTAGGCACGCACCTTGAGCTAAACGTTCACTTTACTTCTCCGTGCTCTGTTCCGTCTCTGAGCACATGCACAGAAATCCTCCTGAGGAACAGCGCAAGATCTCTTTCGCGCTTTTAAAAACATGAATAAATCTAATCAACTTTAATAAATCAAGCATGTCACATTTTGCAGAAGTCACGTTACACAATTTTACTGATGTGCATTTAAAATTGTGCTTTTATGGAGGAGCGAAAGCACACTGCTGGAAAAGGGGGCGGAATGGGGCACAATAATTGTTTTATCTCAATTATTATATTTTCATAATCGTTGGAGATCGAAATCGAAACCATATTTCGATTAATTGCACAGCCCTACTCAGCAGCTTTGTGAACAGGTTTTACAAGGAAGTTCTTACATAAGAACTTTTGCTGCTATTCAGGAAAACTCTTCGTTCTAAGATCAAATGTTTTGTGAATACGGCCCCAGATCTTTCTACACAGCAGATCATTTCCAGACGAAGCACTTTAGATGTTTGTGTGCTATGTGGGATGGTCTGTGAAAAGCAGTAAAAAATAGTTCTTAACAATCAACAAATAGCTTCTTGATGAATGTATGATCCTATTAAAATTTAACTTGCTTTTAAAAAGACTAAACTGAATGTGTTTCAGAGTGACAACTGAATATTTTGACTCTTTATTTTATTTTCTCTTTAGATTTGATGAAGGTGAAAGAAGAAAATGAAAAACTGAATGACTTTGACGAGAAGCACCACGACTATCAGAATTCCTCTGATTTCAATTCTGAAGAAAAACCTTTTAGTTGCTCACAGAGTGATAAGCATTTCATCACCTGCCCTGAATGTGGAAAGAGTTTCACACACCACGAAAGGCTAAATACGCACATGAGAATCCACACCGGAGAGAAGCCATTCACATGTCCTCAGTGCGGAAAGAGATTCTCGCAGAAATCAAACCTGAACACTCATTTGAGGATTCACACTGGAGAAAAACCCTTCGCATGTCATCACTGCGGAAAGAGCTTCACATGCAAAGGAAACCTTAATATGCATGTGCGAATTCACACCAGAGAGAAGCGGTTCACATGCCCTCAGTGTGGACTGAGTTTCACTGAGAAAAAAGTCCTTAAGAATCACATACGAATTCACACTGGAGAGAAACCCTTCACGTGTCTTCAGTGCGGAAAAAGCTTCACTCGGTCAGGATCCCTGAAAGTACACGAGCGACTGCACACCGCAGCGAAGCCGTATCACTGCGCTTCATGTAGGAGGAGATTCAGTTTGGTTTTCTTTCATATCTGCACATCGTCTTACTATCAGCCTTGATTATTCTAGTCTGTTAATTAAAAGGCTACTTGTATGTATATCTGCTAATTGTTAATGAGATGCATTCATGTAAGAGGCTGACAATTATCTGAACTTAAACTTGTTTAATTGGTGACACTTGGCCTACATTAAAAAAAATTTTTTTGAATATGGCAACATATTTCCATCTAAAAAAATCTCACAAAATCTGTAATTTAAAATCTTTATTCGAATTTGGCAACATTTTCTGCAATATTTCTGTGATTAAATGACTGACAGCCAATCATAGTTCCCTTTCAGTCGGTCAATCTCGACGTCACGTCTGTAATTACCGACGAATTGGGATCTCGCTTAGAGAGACAAATCCACTTTGATTGTAAACTAAACGAGCCAATGCACATTGGCATGCGATGATCGCATCCAGCTGCCGCTTATCGCAGCGCAAGTATAACTTGGCAGCCGGTGTAACTCATACTCAGCTTTTCGCTTCAGAGCCGAGCGATCACATCGTTTTGCTCCGGACTACTCTACTGAGAGAAGCAGACTGAATGTGTTCAGAGTGCTCTTTGGAGCTCTTGGTGTTGGCAGTATGGCGCTTCAGCGGTGGTGATTTTCCCGTGTCGAGTGGGTTGCACACATCAGGCTGCACTACCCCTGTTTGTGTTGCATCGCCCATCTCCCCTGTGTGCTTCAGCACGCTGAAAGAGCTTTTCCCTAAAAGAGCATTCATGTGTGCGTCTTTTTAAAGACGACATTGCGTCTGGCAAACGTGACGTTGTGTTTTTGTAAAGACAATGTTGCGTCGTGCTAAAGACGACGTATCACCCGTGCATTTCTGGATGCGGTCGTTACCTGGTGTCGGGTGATGGTCACGATCGCTGCCTCGCGTGTCTGGGCATTAAGCACGCTGAGGCGGCGTTCGTGGATGAGTCATGTTCTCAGTGCGGGAAGATGACCATCTGGTAGTTGCGGGCCAAGCTCCGTTACCTCAAATGGGGCGGAGCTCCGTTGCTTCTGCCTCGATCTATTTCTTTTCATGGCGGCAGTCAGGCAGGGGCTACTTCAGGCAGTAGCACGGGTGGTCTGAGGATAACAGTGATGGCAAACCCTCCAGGGAACCAACCCTCGGGGCACCATCGCTCCTCTTGCACTCCGCAACCAGTTGAGCTGCCAAAGGAACGTGTTGGGCCTCCCCACCCGTCCAGGCCCCCGTCAAACCTGGCGGTGAGTGGAAAAGCAAGAGGCCCCCGGTACGAGCGACCCAGAGGCGGAGGGAACTGCTCTTGGGGGATGGTGAATGCCCCACTCCCTCCCCCGGAGGAGGGCCGGGTGGAGAATCTGGTTTCCAAAAAACTCGACAAGAGAGTGGTTTTCTCTGTCTCTGGGTCCCAAGAGGGCATGGAGAGTCACGGATGAACCAACACCGGACCACCAGACTCATTCTCCGCTCTCGCCAGCAGGTAGCAGCGGGCGTTTCAAGAGCGTTATCCATGGCCCTACTCACGCACCCTCTGCAAAACCATAGAACTAGATAAGCGATGTACCGCACACTCAGACCCCTATTCGGTCCGCCCAGGTCCCTGCGTTCCACCTCACTGCCCCACCGCGGTTACATCGGTGGTCCCGCTGGCCCAGCTTGTACAGTGTCTGGGTGCCTGGCTACCCAAACCATCCAGCTGGCTCCTGCAGACCATTAGACTCGGCTATGCGATCCAGTTTGCCCGGCGTCCCCCCAAGTTCAGTGGCATCCGCTTCACGTCAGTGAGGGCGGCCGATGCTCCTGTCTTGCATGCGTAGATCGCAGTCCTACTGGCAAAGGACGCGATAGAGCCGGTCCCTCCAGCCGATATGAAGATGGGGTTTTACGGCGCCTACTTCATTGTACCCAAGAAAGGCGGTGGGTTACAACCGACCTTGGACCTGCGTGTCTTGAACCGGGCCCTTCACCGGTTACTGTTCAAGATGTTGACGCAGAAACGCATCTTCGGGTGCATCCGTCCCCGAGATTGGTTTGCAGTGATCGACCTGAAGGACGTGTACTTTCATGTATCGATCCTTCCGCACCACAGACCATTGCTGTGGTTCGCGTTTGAAGGACGAGCATATCAGTACAAGGTCCTGCCCTTTGGGCTGTCCCTGCCGCCCTGTGTCTTCACAAAAGAAGACATTCTCAACTACCTTGACGACTGGCTCATACTAAGTCAGTCTCAGGATCAGTTGTGCGAACACGGGGACTTGATGCTCTCGCACCTCAGCCGTTTGGGCCTTCGGGTCAACTGGGAAAAGCAAGTATGCGTTTCCCCCAGTGAGCTTTCTCGCACAGACACCGTGCAAGATCAGTGAGGATGAGGAGCAGGTCCTGCTTGTGGCGCCCTATTGGCCCACTCTGACCTGGTTCACGGAACTAATGCTCCTTGTGACAGCGTCTCCCTGGCAGATTCCTCTGAGGAAGAATCTACTGACTCAGAGACGGGGGCACTCTTTGGCACCCGCATCCAGACCTCTGGAAACTTCACGTCTGGTCCCTGGACGGGACGCGGATGTTCTAGGTGGCCTACCCCAAGAGGTAGTAGACACCATCACTTCGGCAAGAGCACCATCTACGAGACTCACTTATGCCTTGAAGTGGAACCTGTTTGTCAAGTGGTGTTCTTCACACCAAGAGGACCCCCGAGGATGCCCGGTCAGAGTCATGCTGTCCTTTTTGCAGCAAGGGTTGGAGCGAAGGCTGTCTCCCTCCACCCTTAAAGTCTATGTGGCTGCAATTGCTGCGTACCATGACCCCGTGGAAGAGAAGTTGGTAGGGAGGCATGACTTGGTCAGTTTCCTTAGGGGGGCGAGAAGGATAAATCCACCCTGGCCCACCTCTATACCCTCTTGGGACCTGACTCTAGTGCTCAAAGCACTACAGCAGGGCCCATTTGAGCCATTGCAGTCAGTCGTGCTAAAGTTTCTTTCAATAAAAAGCTCCACGACGAATCGTGCCTAAAGTTTGGGTCGGCTGACTCCCAGGTAATCCTGAGGCCTCGGCCCGGCTATGTGCCCAAGGTTCCTACTACCCCCTTCAGGGATCAGGTAGTGAACCTGCAAGCGCTGCCCCCAGAAGAGGCAGACTTAGCCCTAGTTTTGCTTTGTCCAGTCCGAGCCTTGAGATGGTACGTAGACCAGACACAAAGCTTCAGGACCTCAGATCAACTCTTTGTCTGTTACAGAGGCCGGCAGAAGAGGAATGCCATCTCTAAGCAGAGGATGGCCCACTTGATAGTGGATGCCATCACCCTGGCTTGTCAGGCACAGGGTGTGCCCTGCCCGTTCAGGTTGCGAGCTCACTCTATTAGAAGTGTTGCATCCTCCTGGGCACTGCCTCATGGCGCCTCGCTGACCGATATTTGTAGAGCTGCGGGCTGGGCGACCCCCAACACGTTCGCTAGATTCTATAGCCTTCGTGTGAAGCTGTTATCCTCCTGTATTCTCACATCAAACAGGTAGAGGCACTGAGAGGCCCCGGTTTAGTGTCGGTTTGCTAAAACTGCTCCAGAGTGTCCGTACTGTAAACCCTGTCGAGCTCCTCCATCCCCTCAGCAGCCAGACGTGTTGGAACATCCGGCGCCAGGCCCTC